TTCTTTTTTCTTCTTGCCTCTTGCTTCTTTTGCCTGCTCTTGCTGCTTGCTTCTTGTGTTTTTTTTGGTGCCGCTCCTTCTGTTTCTTTCTGTTTCTGCGCTTGCTGCTTGCCACCTGCATTCCTCTTCCATGTCTTGCTTCCTGTTACCAATCCTGCTTCACTCTTGCAACTTGCATTCTTCCTTTGTATCTTCCTTTCTTTTCCCCGCTTGCCTCTTGCTTCATTTTCATTCTTGCAACTTGGGTCTTACAACTTGCGTTCTTCTTGCATCTCTCTCTGGAATTTGCTTTTCTTGCCTCTTGCTTCTGGTTCTTGCTCTTGTTGCTTGCTTCTTTTTCTTTAATCATCTTGTTCTGCTTTTGCTTCTGTTTCTGCGCTTGCTGCTTGCTTTTGTTTCTGCCCTTGCTGCTTGTAACCTCTTCTCTGACGTGCTCCCTCTGATGTCGGCAGGGGTCGGCGGATTATCGCTAGGCTATATCACATGGATTGTGCTTGTGTTCAATCCCAACTTTGCGCGTTGCAGGAAACGAACGTTTTTGTTTGCAGTTCCTTGCTGTCCAAGACGGATTGGAGATCTTCGATAGCACTCTTTCATGATATGAAGCAGTTCCATGGCTTTGAAGTACCGCCTGACGAAAGCACAGCAAATCAGCATGTTGTCCGAGAAGACATTGCTTAGGGTTTGAGCTGATTGTGGGACATGGTCTTAGTATCTGCATATTGTTTTCCCAAATGGATGATGAAAGTGGTATTGGGAAAGCAGCGGCGTTCTGAGGCTGTCGGTGTCTTCCAACTTGGTCACCTTTGGAGCCCTCATCAGCGCATGTGAACGCACCTGGATTGAATACCTTGAGACCTTGAATCCTGCTTCGGTTCAAACTGTATCGAAAGATTTTTGAGAGGCCACATATCAGGTTTCTCCATGTGTTAGCTGAAAACGTGACACTTAGACTTAGGGTCAGTTTTTTGCGGCATCGGAACAAGCCATTCTATATAGACGACATTGGATATATTAGATGACCATGATGAACGTCTCCACCCCCTCAGGACAGCAGGAATGGCTTCATGCTTTGGAACTGAAAGATATCCTTATCAGAAGCCGCTTGGATGAATGCGTCGTGGGCTGGTTCCCAACAGCAGTGCCTTTGGGGGGGCGCGCTGCTTTCATAGACCTCTAGGACCCTGGAACCCTGGAACCTGCTATTGGGTAGCACGGCCGGGTTAATTTCTTGCCTGAACACATTGAACACTGCATGTCACCCGTATGCACAATCAAAGTTGGCAAGCGGCAGGCAATGAAGTCCTGTCCATCATGAAGCTGCATCGCAAAAATCATTTCTTGCAAACTGAACCCTGATTCCAGTTCCAGCAGACACTCCAGTTAAAGTCACCGAAAATCACAGCCTTTTGGGCCTCAGAATCTTTATAAACGCAGGTTTGCGCAATCTCATGCGGGATTGACAGTGGGCCAAAATCAATCCGTCAATCCTTGGCCAAGCTGGGGCCCTGCTGGCGTTTCGCGCTAAAGATCGGAACCTCCAACGCTGCACTGATCAGTTTGCAGCGTTGTTCATCTTTTCACGTTTGTCCGCTTCAGGAAATTTCGAAAACAATTTGCACACCGTTTGCACGGCTATGAGTGCCTGTGAGAAGGGCTGGCAGATTTCCTTGTCCTTGCTTAGGACCTTACAAGGAGCCTCGCACACCACTTAGCATATTTCGAACAGTTTCTTGCCAAGCCAAGGGGCTAAGGGTTTGGATTTTTGCAGGTATTCTGCCAGCATGCTATTCGAGACTTTTCAATTTTTTCTGTAGGATCAAAGCGTGGCAAGGACCATTGACCCGTTTGAAACCAAACGCTTTTGCCTGCAGTGCAGTGGTGCGGGCTTGTGCCCGTTCTCCAAAAGGGTGGGCAAGAATCTTGGCGGAGGCAAACATGGGATATCAAGGGGTATGGTTCATGGTAAAGGGGTTCCAACCATGGAATTAAAAATCAAATCTTTGTGCTCTCGCAGGCAGACCCATGAAAATAGAAGCCGTGTTGATTTTTTTCGATGCAGGACGGAGTCAATCTTGAAATTGAAGCCATATCAATTGATACTTCGTTTTCCTTGTAATTCACTCGGCATCATACAGTTTGGAGCGGCAACTGGCCGAGAAACTCATGTTGACAGCGCGTTTCTTTTCCAAATGCCTCAGGTCAGGTTCCAACCGTAGTGTTTCCTATGTTTGCTGTTTGGGCCTTAAGCAATACCATTGAAAGCGAATGGAATGCGAGCTTTTTTCGGTGAAGTGGTGATGGAGCTTGGGGTGCAGCCAAGGAGCACTTTATCTTTTTTTTGAGTTGGAGCAGTCGAAAGTTCAGGCCGCACTGGGCAGTACGGTGCCTCCCCTCCTTCCTTTGCCTGTGGGGAACTTCCAACTGCGATGCGATGCGGGGGGAGTCATTGGAGCCCCCTTCTGTGTCCAATGTCAGTTTTGGACCCCTTTTCTGACATCGTGAGCGAAAGCCCCATGATATTGTGATACCGATACCGCTTTCGCAATCTTTTGGACAGGTGTTTTTTGGAACTTAACTCTTAACATTGCTAGCGGCCAGTGGCCAGTGCCCAGAATGCAAACGGCAGAGCGGAGGCAAATGCAGTCGCCCTGGGCACTGCCATAGCAGCTTGTGAGGCAGCTGGACAATGGGAGATTGCTTTGCAGTTGATGGTGGCCCATGAAGAGATCCTGGCAGCTTGAGCAGGAAAATGCAAAAACCCAGTACTTTTCTGTAATAGTGGAGCCTATGCAAACTAGACTGGATAGGCCATTTTCAGAACTAGTGGAAGGAAGATTGCCAGAAGCATGACGCCGTGAGGGCACCCACGCATTGACCCGAAGATTGACCAGTGAACATAGGAGGTTCAGTTCCATTGCTACGCTGCTACGTTATTCTACACACCGCAAAGCGCACAAAGCCCGTGTGCCTCGCAATGCTTGTCGAACAGAGTTGTTTGTCGGTGGCCTGTTGATGTTTTTGGTTCTTGCTTCCTGCCAGCTCGAATCAAGTACCACATCCGCCCGCTTGCCCACGACCGAGGACCTTGCGTGCTTGAATTGCGGCATCAGTTCCTGCGAACGTGGCAGCAGATGGCAGCATGCATTGGTTCTTTTTGCGAAAGCGGCTTGCCCGAGACGGAAGTGGTAAGAGGCGGAAGCGTCCCGGGCTTCCCTTCAGATTGTCGGGCACGTTAGACTGAAACGCTTTCACTAGAGCCAAGTTGAAAGGCTCACTCTTTGTGATGATTCGGAACGCAAGGCTTCCTTTTTGCAGCCCATGCAATGTATGTTTCACAAGCGGGCCAGTGCTGAGGCACAGCTGCCAAATGACTCTACCTACAGTGCTTCGCTGCGCAATTAGACCACATCAAGGGTGAAATATGCGAAACGGCCCGGTTCCAAAAAGTAGGTACGCGTGGGACAAATCACAATCAACTTCAAAACTTAGATTCCGATGTTTTGCAAGAGATGAGGACAGAATCAGCCACATGGTACACTCCTTCCAAAGTGTGAACACAACGGAAAAGTCAAAGATTCAGAAAAGCTCATATTTTGACAGTTTGTTGTTTTCAGTTCTCACAATGTTGAGCCGTCACTTGCCCTTTAGCTTGTTTCTTTGACCGTTTCATGTTCAGCCGATTTCATCTCAAATATGTGTTCGGTACAGTTAATTTTGTCCTACGCGCTTCGGAGTACAAGCGAACGGCCTGCTTGCCGAGGTGCTGCAATGCTTGCATGTCGCAAAGCTAATCAGTGGCAGGTAGCTTTGAGCCTGTGGACAGAACGGAGAGAAGCTTGGCCATGACATGCCTGAAGGCCTGTGACAGCATGTGACAGCCGGGCATTCTGCTCAAATGCAGAGTTAAACAGCGATCCAGTGAGAAGGCGAGATGACACAGCAGAAGGAACAGAAGCCATTTTTGCAACAATCATAAAAGCACATGAAAACTTCTGGCAGTGGCGAAACGCCTTGCCTAATCGCTGAGTTTCGCTGTATTTTCAAGACGATACGAATCCGCCTAAGGTAGCTTGTCATTGGGAAAGAGCGGGTAGAGCACATACACTTGCTCAGAACTGTCTTATCGAATAGGTGGAATGCACCTGGCGTGCAAAACACACTTCTAGTATACCTGGCAGGACAATGGAATCTGAGAGGACAGGTGGAACCATCGTTGTAAATACATTGACCCGAAGGAAGTCCAATAAATCAGTGGCTGTCCCTTCCCCTTCCCAAAGTCAGTGAGGCACCGGTCATAAACCATGAAAGAGTCTCAAATGACGACAAACGCGCATGAAATAATCAGAGGTGAAAAAACTTAACGTGTTGACGGAGCTACCATCGCCATAGCCAGTGTTGTTGCCATATCCACATGTGAAGTTGCCGACTTGACGGTTCTTGGCTTAGCCGGTTGCCATTCACTGGATTAGAATTCGAAATTCGGCAAAATAGGAATTCGATGGTGCTGCAGGTATGTCGGGATGATCAGTCCCGATATCTTCCCAACTCATGAGCAGGGAGAATCCACTTGGAGATCTCTTGCGTAAAGAAAATGCCATGAATCAAACCAGGCGACATCACACCGAAGGAGTTTCCAATTGAAATTTCACGGGTGCAAGTTTTACATCTATTGAGATGGGTGCGCACACGCGCACACACGCCGCAGGAGGGTGGGAGAATGAGATGTAAATGACAATGTCTGAAATGGAGAATATTTAACCGGGACACGAAGAGGGGAACGCAAAAGAAGAGGGAAGGAGCAAACACCAAGACGACACACCTGGCCCAGAGCGGGCAAACCTTGAAAGGGCAAAAGAAAAGAAAAGCGGAGGCCGACGGACACGGAACAAGACCAGCGGAGGGGGGGAGGACGGAAGCGCCTGAACCAACCTACCAAAGCAAAACTTACGCCTACCTAAGCACGCACAGGACCCAACCTACCTGCAGGAGAGAGAAATAAAGGACCAATGGGGGCTAGTGAATAAATTGATGCGTCCATGCAAGCATGCAAAGTCGAGACAACGGTTTCAATGGCCACCGCATTCCAGTCCAACCCTGCAAGGGCTGACATAGTCACCCCTTGAATTAATGCCCAACTGTACCTCACCAGATCAACCAAAAGAAAGCGGCCCCACCTGAAAGGCATGTCCCGAAACCTGAACCTTGTCATGTTGCAATGCCAAAAGTTGGTCAGTCTCTCGATCAAAAACTGAAAAAGGAGGTTTCCACGGCCTGAAGGGCGAGAAGCGAAAGAAGGCGAAGCCCGGTACTGCGGCCAGTTGTTCAACCAACGACAAACGAGCGAAAAAAGGCCGACTGTTTCACTTTATTTAAACCAATTACTAGGTTGAAAACTTTAGATTCTGAGATCAAATTCATGGGTCCGTCGTACCAGTAGTACCACACAAGGCGGTGGTGGAAGTTTCAAAGCTAGGAAACCTTTTGGAGAGGTTGGTCGTTGTGAATCATGGATGGCAGAGCGAACCCTCTGGTGGGCCGAAAAGTGGTTGGAGTGTCGGGCTATCTATCTGGGGATGGGTCAAAACCCTGGTACCTAGTGAACCCCAAAATAGCTGGTAAATGGATGTTCATCCCACTAAAAATGTATCTATAGGTATTGACCCATACCCATCTATCTATCTTTCTATCTATCTATCTATCGATCTATCTATCTATCTACCTGTCTATCTACCTGTCTATCTATCTGTCTTCTTGTCTATTTATCTATCTGTCTATTTATCTGTCTACCTGCAAGCTTGAAAACGAAGCTATTCTGCGAGGCATCCTCAATGTTAGAACTTGACAACATCCAAAACGAAGCAATGCTGCGAGACTTCCCTTTTTCAAACTTAACGACGTCAAAAACGAAGCAAACCTGCCAGACTTCTTCAATTTCAAAGTTGAAAACATCAAACATCAAAAACGAAGCAATTTTGCGAGACCTCCTTCAAAAATGGAAAGCCGAGTGCATAGCTGACGGCCTCGTGCCAATGCGTTTTGCGCTTTGTCACTCCATCTGGCTAAAGTATTGCGCCCGCCATGAAAAAGTGAGGCCAGGTCATGCGAAGTGCTGCACCAGTCAGGCAAAATCATCTTAGCAAGTCTGAAGATCTGATGCTCCAAACTGCAACCCCTCTCAGGAAATCAGCGCCCTGACCTCCTAACATCTCTGATGAACATGTCTCGTGTACTGCGCCTGCCACCCGACATGCATCTTTCCAGATCCTCTTCAATGCCCCATGCCTGCCATCGTTTTTGGAAGTGCTCCAAAGCCTTCACGTTTTGCCCGCTTTTGACAAGGTGCACGACCCCTTGCGCCTGCCACGCGAAACGAATTCTGAACCTCCAAAAGTGGTCCGAACCCCTGGTGATTTTAACATTTTGACTTCGAAGTGTGCTTCGCGCCACAACGACGTGCACTTTTTCCACATCTGAACTTCCAAACGTGGCGCGAACATGTGGTGCTTTGTACAATTTCACTTCGAAATGTCTCACCAGATCAACCAAAAAGAAAGTGACCACACCTGGCAAAACACTGCCTGTTTCCTGAGCATTCCCTCGTGCTGCACTGTCAAGTTGCTTTGGAAAAAGAGGTTTTCACGGTTATCTGCAGCAATCAACAGAAACGGCGAGTCCCACACTGCCGGCAGCTGCTCAACACGTCGACATTCGAGCACAGGGTGAAAAGAGGTCAAAAGGCCGACGGTTTTACTTTACTTAGGCTTAGGCGCATTGCCATTTTAAAGTACTTCATTTCAGGTTTCAAGTCAAGGGATCAAATCGTTGCCTGGAAAGGGGCTCATGCCACCATGTCGAATCCAGCATGAGCAACACACTTGCTCAGAACTGACTTTTCGAATCGGGCGTGAAACAAACACCAGCAAGCAAAAAAAGCAAAATGCCACGATGAAGCTATACCAATATATTGTAAAAATATTTATGTTAAAACCAGAGGAAACATTGAACATTACTACCAACAGCAATAAACTATAGGCCCCGCCAGCTACGACTTATATGCTCCCAGGGGCAGGACTCTATATAATGAATAGATAAACAAGTAAATGAATAAATGAATAAATGTATGTATATATATATGTGTGTGTGTGAATTTTTAATTACACATAACATATCTATATAAAAATATATAATTATTTTTTATTTATTTAAAAAGGAGCAGATACGCTTACACAGGAACATTGTAGCGTCTTCATTAGCCGCTGACTGCGATGTTCCCCAGCGCCCCCATTCACCAAGTAGAGGTTTCACATCTATTAGGATTGGCCGAAGGAAGTTTAGAAGTCAAACTTCCGACAATATGGAGAGATGGATTAACAGAGGTGGGAACAGTCAGAGAAGAGAAGAGAAGATCAGAGAAGCGAAAGAGTGCGAAGAAAGACGATGCAGGCGCGCAAAAAGCTAGAAAAGTGGCGATTCACGGTGTTTTCCAGTGATTTGTGG